ATCTCTGGTCATTGGTTTAAGATATTTTATTATAGAATGGGATTCATATCCAACATATATTCCCAACCTTCTTTGAGGTCCCATCTTTGTGTGTTATGGTGGAGCAATCGGAACATAAACCGCACATCCAAAAATTCTAAGATGGGAAATATTTGGTTCCTGACCAAAAGCCAATTGTAATGGATAGAATTTAAGATAACTTGATGGCTTGATGCGTACAAGTATTGCTGCATGTAAAATAACATATCCTCATGTCGAAACGGGAAGTTTTGTTCTCATAAGCAATGGTCTAGCTATTAATTAGAGGCGTTTAATAAATGATTCTGCTAAACCATTTTGTGTATGAACATGAGCAACAGCTCTTCAACTGCTATTCTAATTGACATACAATAATCATTAAAAGCCTGAGATGTAAACTCACCAGCATTATCAAGATGAATTGTCTTGATGGCATAATCTGGAAATTGTGCTCTTAATCTTATTATTTGAGCAAGTAATCTTGCAAACGCCAACTTGGGAGTTGATAACAAACACATATGTGACCAACTTGTAGATGCATATATCAAAACCATATAATATTTGAATGGGCCACATGGTGGGTGAATGGGCCCACATATATCACCTTGTATACGTTCCAAAAATGCAGGGGATTCAATCCCAACTTTAACTGGTGATGGTCTAGTAATCAATTTTCCTTGAGAATAAGCAGCACATGGGAATTCTTTAAATTGAATAATCTTCTGGTTCTTTAATGGGTATCCATGTGAATTCTCAATAATTTTTCGCATCATGATTGATCCGAGATGGCCTAACCGATCATGCTAAATAGTAAAAATATTCGGATCAATAAACTTATGGTTTAATATAGCATGAGTTTAAACTGTGTCAATATTTGTATAGTACAAACCAGAGAAAAAGGCGGATAGATTTTTTAATACACATTTCTTACCCGATATAATAGTTGTGATATAGAGATATTCAATGTTCTCCTCATTTACAGTCTCAATATGATATCCATTTCAACGAGTATCTTTAAAACTTAACAAGTTTCTTTAAGACTTACTACTATTGGAATGTGTAAAGAAGAGAAAGTGAAGTGATTAGACTACCAAACAAACATGGACAACCTTACAACTAGAAATTGTGTATTACATTAACCAGCAAACTATTTTAGGCCTCGTTCATTTCACCAATTTGAGTTTTTAGTTTTAAGTTTTTACAGTTAAAAACTCTCAGAAAATGTCACATCTAATTTTTTTTTGCTACAGTTAAAAACTCTCAGAAAATATCATATTTAATTTTTTTACTAAAGTTAAAAACTCTCAAAAAATGTCACATCTCAACTCGAATTGAAAACTCAAATCCGTGAAACGAACGAGGCCTTAGTTTCCAACTTTGGAGTTCCTAAACTGGAATCCAATAAATGATTTAGGTGTAATGTTCTCAACTTGGGTTCAAAGATAACAGTTATAAAAAGAAATGCTAGTATCACTATTTTTGTCACTCTCTTTATCACTCTCTGCATTTACTGTATAACACATGAACTCTATTAACTCATTGTTTATTGAAATAATAATATATTATATTAGTGGAGTTTATGCATCAAACAGTAAATACATAAAGTGACAAAAAGAGTGATGCTAGTATTTCTCTAGTTATAAATGTGCTTTTGTTTTCTTGAGATTTGATTTTTATATTACTACTGTTTTTGTTGTTAATTGTACTTTCTTCAGACTGATTGGAACTCTCAAGTTATACATGTGCCTTTGTTTTCTCATAAATTGTAGATGTGTCTTCTGTATCAAACAGAAAAAAAGATTTCAATGTGTATTTTAAATTCAAATCCTCCATTAGGTTATGGTGTCTCCTTCACTCTTTAACTATTACGTAAATATCATTTTTTTTAAATCTATTATTTAAATGTTTCCCTGAATCCTCTATAATAATATAAAATATTACTTCAAAAAGAAAAATTTGTTATAAAATAAAAGAAAGTAACGAACTGAAAGAACAAGAACAAAAGAATTCAGAAAATTGAGAGAATTGAGAGAAAAAAGAAAAGAATATTTTGATTCGCTCCAAACATTACAATGTTTCTCCAAGACTCTATTTATAGACACTTCTATAAAACAATAATAGAAAGATCTACAAAATAATTGTAATTGTCAGATTTCAATCAATCATAATCTCAATTAATTGCACACTACAATCTCATAAATTGTGATCTTAATCCCATGAAGATACCATAGAATCTGGTTAATGTACATCCATATAAAATCTTAGATTTACAACAATCCCCCTTGTATGTCCATTAAAAGATAATGTGCCTCGTTAAAACCTTACTAGAAAAAAAAACCATGTGGGAAAAAAATTCCCAATGTAGGAAAAAAATTACACATATCTTGTAATACGCATTGTAAATTGCCTCATTAAAAACCTTACTAGGAAAATCCATTGGGACAAAACCTTTGTTAAGGAAAAAAGAGTGCATTACGTATTTTACTCCCCATGATGACAACATCACTTAATTTCCCCGGGGGTACCCCAGGGGTGTCCCGGGGGTCTCCCGGGGGCGCCCTGCGGGCGTCCCGGGGGCCCCGCGGGGGTGTCCCGGGAGTGCCTCGAGGGAGCCCCAGGGGTGTCCCGGGGTTGCCCTAGCGGTGTCCCGGGGGAGTCCCGGGGGTGACCCGGGGGTCTCCCAGGGGTATCCTGCGGGTCTCCCGGGGTTCACCCAGGGGTCTCCCGGGGCTGCGCCAGGGGTCTCCCGGGGGTTTCCTGGGGGTCTCCCGGGGGTGCCCCGGGGGCCCCCTGGGGGTGCGCCAAGGGGCTCCCGGGGATGCCCCGGGGGTGCACCGGGGGTCTCCCGGGGGTCTCCCGAGGGTCTCCCGGGGGTCTCCTAGGGGTGCCCTGTGATGTGAACATCAGAGATGCAAGAAATACTCATCAAAGTCAATCCAGAAGAGAGCCAACTAGTCTTAAATGTCCATTGAGCCATTACATGGCCAACTTGCATGCCAATCCAGGATACACGTGCAAGGGGGAATTTCAAGAAGTTAGGCGTGTTTTCCAGCCCGGGATAAAGACAAATTACGGATTAAGACTTGCCTTTATCATAATTCTATCTTTTTAGGTTTAAGTTTCAATTCAAACATTTAAATTGTATAATAGGCATTTTTAAGGAAGGAGTTAGATTCAAATTCGGATTCCTTCCCTAAGAGATTATCTTTAGGCATTTTTTAGGAAGGAGTTGGAGTCAAATTCGGATTCCTTCCCTAGGATAAGCTTTTAGACGTTTTTTAGGAAGGAGTTGGAGTCAAATTCGGATTCCTTCCCTAGGATAAGCTTTTAGGCGTTTTTTAGGAAGGAGTTGGAGTCAAATTTGGATTCCTTCCCTAGGATAAGCTTTGGGCTTGCGTTTATCTTGTTTTTAGGTTTTCTTATTTTAGGCTTCTATCTCATTAAGGATAAAATAAGACTTTTCAATTTTTAAACCCTTTTCAGCTTATACTCGGCTATTTAAGGCTGAAAACGAAAATTAATAAAAAGTTTTGATGTTTATTCACTTTGTGAGATATTCTTTTTAGTTCTTGAAGAACTATTCCAAACTTATCAAGGTTTTCCTTATGGCGTTCACCCTTGACTTATCAAACAGAATTTTCCATACTCGTTTGTGGCGTCTTCACCATACCAAGGTTCTTGCTTCGCTAAGCAACGGGTCGCAGTTTCCATCAATTCTTGAAGATCTTAGATCATATCCCATATTTGGCTATGGGTTTCGTCACATTGTTGGCGGGGTTCGTATCACCCTGGGGGCGCGCCGGGGGCCTCCCGGGGGTCTCTTGTGGGTTTCCCAGGAGAGAAAAGCACTCGCCGGCCTGGAAAATCTTGAAGCGCCACCTCGAAACATGGGAAAGAATATCCCAGGTGATTTGGGGTCAGTGCACGAAGGTGGAGACTTGAGGGATAAGCTGAATTTGAATGAGGCAAGAGTCTCGAAAGGGGCTAGCTCTGCAATTGACAGAAGAGGCTAAAGCCATTATGAAGCGTGTGATGAGCCTAGAAGAAAAGTTCACTGGTGACATCGCCGGTTTAAAGAAAGACGTCAGAAACCAGGTGAGCCACTTACAGAAAAACTTAGGACAAGTGGCGGACGTGGTCAACGTCGACATCACCCCCGGCCGAAGTTACGATCACCCTTTTACTGCAAAAATCATGGCACAGCCTTTACCCGACAAATACAAATCCTCGACGATCCCACCATACGACGGCAGAGGGGATTCTAACGACCACCTAGAAATGTACATGGGGCACATGCTTCTGCATGGATACGCCGAGGAGATAATGTGTTGAGCGTTCCGAAACCACTTAATGGATTCCGCCCGAAGATGGTTCCAGACACTGAAACCAGAGTCCATCTCCAGCTGGGAAGAGTTGAAGGAAGCATTGTCCCTTCAGTTCATTGGGGTGAAGAAATATATCCCGCCGAAGCAAAACCTGACGATGGTATATCAAAAACCAAATGAGTCATTGAAAGAATGGCTCGCGAGGTACGGGGAAGCTGTCGCCGCTACAGGAGATATGACGGTTCAAGAGGCTCTGATGGGAGCCCTGTCCAGCATGGAACAGAGCACGACGTTTAAACATGACCTCAACCGGAAGCCACCAGCCACCTATAAAAAATTCTTGGCACGGGCACATGGATATATCAATGCCAAGGAAGGTGACGCAAATGATCCCGAACACAAATCCAACAAAAACAAAGGAGCTGAACTGGGGTCGACCTCTGGAAAGCAAGATAACAAAAAATGACGAGGTGAGGGGAACATAGACAAGCAAACCACATCAGCGCTAACCCTCCAGAAACAAAGAAGCCAAGGCAGAAGGAAAATTGAAAGTCTCGGCCGTTCCAACGATACGACTCCTATCACGAGCTCACTATAGGCGTCGAGGAAGTATTCAATCAGGTCGGATGAGGAAACTTATTGCGCCGACCAGAGTTGATGAAGTCAGATCCAAACCGAAGGAATCAGAACAAATACTGCAGGTTTCACGGCGACGTCGGCCATAACACCAATGACTGCGCCGACCTAAAGGATGAAATCGAGAGGCTAATCCGTGAAGGAAGGTTGCAAGAGTTCAAAGCCGAAAGAAGGGGCCAAAGCCCAGGAAATAACGATCGACGTCGAGAGGATAACCGGGGGAGAAAAGATCGCGAACCGGTCGGCGTCATAAGAACCATTCATTGGGGGATCTCGGCGGGGATTCCAGGAAGTCGCAGAAGAGTTATGCCCACGAAGCAAGGGGTATACCAGGAGAGGTTCTGGACTCTCTCCACTACCAAAGTAGTAAAATTCAGTGGCACTGATGTAACATTCACAGAAGAAGATGCGAATGGTGTCCATTTCCCCCACAAGCACGCATTGGTTGTAGAAGCAGTGGTTGGAAACCATACTATGGGCAGGATCCTCGTGGATAATGGAAGCTCGGTAGACATCCTATACTCCGATTGCTTTGAAAAAATGGGAATTCCAAAGGAGTAACTCGAGAAAACAATACGGCCGTTATTTGGGTTCACAGGGGACTCAGTCATCCCCCAAAGAACGATCCGACTGCCCATCTCCATGGGAGAGAAGCCTAGGCAGGCGACCACGATGGCAAACTTTGTGGTAATAAAGGGGGGATCACAATATAACGTCGTAATTGGAAGGCCGACCCTTCAGGCGCTAAGAGCAATAACCTCCATTTATCACCAGAAGGTTAAGTTCCTAACCCCCAATGGCGTAGGTGAGATGAAAAGTAATAAGTACGAGTCCAGGATTGCATACACAGATGCCCTTCACGGGTACAATCCACCAGGAAAACAAGAGGCGAAAATGGTGCAACAGGGACCAGTTGAGGACGAGACCCTAGAGTCACGGAAGAAACATAGTCCCAACCAATCGAACAGCTAGCAGAGGTCCAGGTGGATTAGGGGGAACCAACGAGGGTGCTAAAAATAGGGGCGGACCTACCATCGGCGCTTAGGATCGAGGTCGAGGAGCTCCTAAAGAAAAATCTAGATGTGTTCACCTGGACGCATGCAGACATGGAAGGCATCAACTCCCAAGTCATGTGCCATGCTCTAAACGTCGACTTTACTTATCCACCAAGACGTTAGAAACGCCGACTAATGAATCCAGAAAGGTACGAAACTCTAAAGGAAGAAGTCGACAAACTCATCAATAATGGCTTCATTAGGGAGGCCCACTATCCCAGATGGGTTTCAAACCCTGTCCTAGTAATCAAGCCTAACGGGACATGGAGGACATGTGTCGAATTCAACGACCTCAACAAAGCCTGCCCAAAAGACGGTTTCCTACTTCCCCGAATAGATCAGATGGTCGACGCCACTGCTGGGCACAAGCTGTTAAGTTTCATGGATGTCTACTCTGGCTATATTCAAATTCCAATGCATCTATCTGATGAGGAGCATACGTCGTTTATAACAAATAGAGGCCTCTATTGCTACAAAGTAATGCCTTTCAGTTTAAAAACACGGGAGCAACATACCAGAGGCTGGTGAACAAAATGTTTGCTAAACAAATCAGGAAATCAATGGAGGTATATGTCGATGACATGCTGGTAAAAAGTGTCAAGGCAGGATAACACGTCGACCATCTGGGCAAAATGTTTAACATACTAAGGAAATACCGCATGAAGCTAAACCCTTTAAAATGTGCCTTTAGAGTCGGGTCAGGAAAGTTTCTCGACTTCATGGTCAGTAATCGAGGAATAGAGGCCAACCCCGAGAAGATAGAGCTTTACAGGATATGAGGTCTCCCACGAAACCAAAAGAGGTCCAACGATTGACAGGATACATCGCTGCCCTTAATAGATTCATATCTAAGGCGACTGATAAATGTGTCCCCTTCGTCAATGCCTTAAAAGGGGGCAAGCGTTTTGAGTGGACACCACAATGTGAAGAGGCTTTTCAAAGGCTGAAGGAGTACTTGGGCAAACCCCCAATCCTATCAAAACCGATGCCAGGCGAGAAGCTGAGTTTATACCTATCCGTATCAAAGCACGCTATAAGCTCTGTATTGATTAGAGAAGAAGGCATCCAGTTGCCGGTCCACTACGTAAGCAAGAGAGTCCTGAACGCTGAGTCAAGATACACCCAGATGGAACAATTGGCTCTCACCTTGATGGTGGCCTCGAGGAAGCTTCGGCACTATTTCCAATCCCACACCATACGAATCCTAACGAACCACCCGCTAAGACAGGCGTTACAAAAGCCTGAAACATCGGGTCGACTCTTGAAATGGTAAGTGGAACTGAGCCAATTCGACATCAAATACATACCAAGGGCAACGATCAAGGGACAAGCACTGGCAGACTTCCTGGCTGAACTTTCCCATAGACTGGCATTAGCCACCGATGGAGAGATTAGAGAAATAAGGTGGAAGCTTTACGTAGATGAAGCATCGAATGAAATCAGGTCAGGAGCCGGCGTCATGCTAATAAGCCCAGAAGGTCACAAAATCACCTCGGCGGTACGATTCAAATTCAAGGCGTCGAACAATGAAGCAAAATATGAGGCATTGATCACAGGATTACAGTTAGCAAGTCATTTAAAAATTAAGAAACATGAAATTTTTAGTGACTCTCAATTAGTGGTCGGGCAAGTAAAAGAGGAGTATCAGGCACAAGGAGAAAAGATGGGGGCCTATCTGAGGAAGGTAAAGGAAGAGCTTACAAAGTACAAAAGCTATGAGATACAACAGGTGTCAAGAATTGAGAATACAAATGCCGACGCCTTGGCTAAACTAGCATCATCAAAGGATTCGGACCTATTAAGGGTCGTCCCCATCGAAGAATTGGAACAGCCGACCATAGATGAGTGATAACTCTATGAAAATAGAGTTAATTGAGCATTTCCTAGGCTTAAATTATTACCTAGAGGGTAATTAGTATTAGTTTTCTCCTATATTTTGTCTTGTTAATTGTTTTTAGTTATTTGTGTTTCATAAATTATCTCTCTCGTGATTAGCGTGTGCACTTTGTGGTTAATCTCAGCTTTAAGAAAACGTGGTCGTTTGGAGCTATTAGCAGTTTTTCATTTTTGGAGTATGAAGGAATCCGAGTCAGCATTGCTGTGCATTGCTACAGCAAGACAAGCTGGGCCAGATGTGTGTTTTACTGACAGCTGGACCTGAGCTGGTTAATGGGCTAATTTTTGTCCGTGAAGGGTGCTGATTGAGCCACTCATTGGAGGCTTTCTCATGTGCTACCACGTGGAATTAGGGTACAATAAGTACCTGCAGCTGAGAAGAAAGAAGGTGTCCTTGGTCATATTTTGTAACGTAGAGGCGGCTGAACTTGGAAAAGGAAACCACCTCCATTTCTCTGATCAAGTACCAGCTCCAGTACTGGGAAGAAGAAGAAGAAAATGTCACAGGGTGTTGAACGTGAAGGAAGGACCATTGTTGATGCAGGAAGTGCTAGAAGAAACCTTGGAAAAGGGGGATTCGGATTCTCTCCTCGTTACCTTAGTTTTTCTTACTCTCAATACTCTGTTTTACCTTGTTGAAGAACATTTACGTTTCTCTATAAATATGAACTCGAATCCATATATAACTCTATAAGATTATGATTTGTTGGCTGAGATTGTTGAGTTGTTAAATATTAAAATGTTAGTTGATGTTGAATGGATCTGATGATTATTTCTTTGTTTATTCAAGTGAGCTGAATTTGTGCCTTAACTGTGATTGGGAAATCATAAAAGGGGAGTATAGCTTTGATTAGATCTGGGAAGATTTAGTTGAGTGGACACAACTTGAATAATGCAAGTTCTTAGATCTTGTTTTAGATTTTTGATTCACATGATATAGGAATATATTGTGTCTTGCATAACCATATGATTTAGAGCTTCATTCTCTGATTTTAGAGTCTAGATTTGCAAAGGGATTTGTGGGATTTAGCTTTAAGATCAGTAGACAGAGGATTAGAAAATTCCTGGTTTAGTAAATCTGGTTAACAAGAAGTCTTCGTTGCTGCCCGTTGCTGCAGCATCGCGCAGCATTGATAGGAGACAGTTTAGCAATTGTGAGCCACGCACAGTGACTTTGGCCAATTTATTTGCACATTTTGTTATTAATTAGTTTTATCTTTGTTGTTCATTTTCTTACAGTCAGATTATTATTAGTTTTTAACATCTTAAAATCAACTTTAGTTTTCTTCTTAAAACTTGATTATAATTAACTTAGCAATTTGATTTCAAAAACACTCAATCCCTATAGGACGATACTTGGTTATTCATCATTTTACTACTTGTTGACTCGTGCACTTACGAGATTCTAGATTCACAATTTTAGGCAACAAGTTTGGCAAACTCTGCACCAGCTTTACTACTTGTTGACTCGTGCACCAGCTTACTACTTGTTGATGGCCTCAAGTTCGACAATGCTTCGACGCGTAAATTCTGCGAGGATTTAGGCATACGAAAGGACTTCTCAGCTCCAATACATCCACAGTTCAATGGCCAAGTTGAGGCCATCAATAAAATCCTAAAGTATACCCTGAAGAAGAAGCTCGATGACCTAAAAGGAAAGTGGGCCGAAGAACTTCCCAAAGTCTTGTGGGTATACAGAACGACGAGTCGAATCACCACGGGCGAAACACCACGGGTGAAACACCATTATCTATGGCATACGGAATCGAAGCAGTACTCCCCATGGTGATCGAGACGCGAACTCTAAGAACGGTCGTGTACAACGACGACGTAAACATGGAGGCCATGAACGGAGAACTCCATCTATTGGAAGAAAAAAGGCTCGACTCCCAATTACGGCTTGCCGCTTACCAAAGGAGGACATCCTAATACTATGATAAAAAGGTCAAACAAAGAAGGTTTATCCCAGGAAATCTGGTATTAAAAAAGGTGACGCAGAGTACTAAACCAAAAAATACTGGCCTTTTAGGCTCGACTTGGGAAGGACCCTACCGCGTAAGGGAGGTGCTACGTCCTGGGACCTATGTTCTGGAAAGCCACGCTGGTAAAAAGATTCAGCACCCATGAAATGCAGAGCAGCTAAAGCTGTACTACCAATAGTGTACGAACTCTTATGTGCTTTTATTGTGTTTGGCATTTCATTAATATGAACAAAGCTTATTTATAGCGTATGTCCACAAATTAACCTCTTAAATATGTCTATCTAAAAAAATCAATTTTTTAAACACACATGGGGTCTACGGATCACAAAAATATGCATATGTAAAATAAAACGTCGACTCCTCCAAGGAGGAGAGACGATTTACTTAGAAAATTTTAAGAAATTTGCTAACACGAAGACCCTAAGGAGTAAAATAAAACGTCAACTCCTCCAAGGAGGAGAGACGATTTACTTTGCAAATTTTAAGGAATTTGCTAAAACAAAGACCCTAAGGGGTAAAAAAAAACGTCAACTCCTCCAAGGAGGAGAGGCGATTTACTTAGCAAATTTTAAGGAATTTGCTAACACGAAGACCCTAAGGTGCAAAATAAAACGTCGACTCCTCCAAG